GGTGTTGTGTTGTGGTATAGCGCTGCGCAGGCGTTCTGCTGTCGAAAGTGCGGCGCTCGGTTGGGTGCGGCGCTCGCTTGTGAAACACGTTAAACGATTTACTGAGTGGTGTTGAGGTCTCGGTGGTGGATACACGCACAACTCATCATATCGGCCGATTACAGAACTTTGCCGTTCTGAAGATCTGGCTGCAGCTACAGAAGAATTTTGGCTTCCAAGAACACCAAAATTTGTACTCTTCCAGGTATCTGCGGACATACGCTGCTCAAATACTCCGGGTGCGTCTTCGCGGCTTTGGTCCCGCAGTCAGCTCAACACCAGATCTGCAATCAGCTTCCGCAATTCATGACTACACGCTATACATCCTGGACAAGCGCAAGAATCATGATCAGCATGTAGTTTCATGAGCTTCGATATCATGTATCCCATATAGCGACTTAGCAGTGGATGCATTGGTCCGCTCAAAAGCGGATTTTCGTTCTCAAGAACCTTGTATACTTGACATGTTTCTGCGAAGGACAACATGCACTATGCAGATGTCTTGAATCCGTCAGGCAAAACTAGACTGACAGCAGGGAACAAGATTGGGCCCTGAAATCTCGATAAAATAGGAGATATTTCCGTCAAAATTTGCGGACATCTGGAACTTGATGATAATCTCGGAGACTACAGCGCGGTATGGATGTTCTTTGAATGGCAAGAGACGAATTTCGGAGTTGTTCAGTTGAGAGCTTACAAAACGAGATTGCAAGAAATGCTTGTGATTTAGATCCCTGAAATCATCGCTGCTCATGCATGTCCCGAGTGGGCCCAGTTGGGCGCATTGAATCTGTCCAAGCAAATCGAAGACCTCCCAAACTCCAGCTGTGTTCTTTTCACACGAATAGTTAGGTTGTTCAAGAAATCTTTGCCTTCATGATGTATTATTTTGAACTAGGAGTCGTTTGACATGTTTTCGAAGCATCTTCTCGAGCGGTGCTGGTGGTGGAATTTTCAGAAGGTGCTGATGGTACGCTCAAATGCCGGTGCCACAACCCTACGCATCCTTCGACACATCGCAGCTCCCACACGCACGTGTGATCAATGCTACAACGATGCAGGTCTCATGAGCCTTCCATACAAGTCACACTCTTGCACCGACGATATCCGGTTCCTAGATATGTGAACACAGACTTGTTGCAATGACAATCGACCATCAAATCTGAAGAGGGCAGGGGTATTTAGTTTGGCAACGCCGAGCATGTCAAAGTAAAGTAAAGTTGAAGGGCAAGACAAGCCAACTCGCAGCTTGTATGGAGGTAAAGATATGTAAAAAAAAATTGAACAGGACGAGACTCGAACTCGCGCGGAGAAACTCCACTAGCAGACTCTTGAAGTCCTGAAGCTAGCACCTTAACCACTCGGTCACCTGTCCGAAGTCGAAGGAAGCTCTATGCTTCTGTTGATACGACCTGACATATTTCATTACATCGGGAGTCGTGCGTTGTGCACTTCGCCTGTGGCTAACATTTCTACACTATCACCGTCTCGCCAATATCGCACAGTCCCACTTCCTTACCCCACTCATAACCCTCCGCTTCCGCGCCTTTCTTCCAGCGCTCAGGCGGTTCCAGTACCGGTTCATATGCCGCCGAGTATGCGCCTCTCAGTGTCCCATAGTGCATGCCTATGCTCTTCTTACTCCTCACATCCTTGTGTATCGACAGCGAGTCCTCAGGGCTCGAATGCTGTCCCGACAGGACTGAGCGCGGCTTGAAGCACCCGATGGGTAAGAGTGCGAGGTCGAATGGCCCGTACAGCTCGCCGACCTCTTTGAACGCCGGGCACGGCGGGTGCGGCGCATCGTGGTGCGAGAACTGAGTGTCAGATATGACGTGACAGTACCCTGTGTCGCCGGCAAAGAAGAGCCTCTTGCCACCTTCTTGTGGTTCGCGTATAATCCATGAGCACCACAGCGTGCCGTCGAAGTTCCACGGCGTCCGCCCGGAGCGGTGTTGTGCGGGCGTGCAGACCAGGTCCACGGATCCTGCGGTCTCGGTCTGCAATGTTATACCATTCCACCAGTCTAGCTCGGTCACTTGGTCGGCTTTGATGCCGACTCCAAGGCCGGCCAGCACGGCCTTGACGCCTAAGCCGCAGAGGAAGCGCAGCTCGCCATTCTGTTTTGCATTCAGCTTCTTGAGCGTGTCGGAGTCGAGGTGGTCGTAGTGGTCGTGGCTGATTACGACGGCGTCGATATCGGGCAGGTCGTCGATCGAACAGGGCGGTGGTGTGAATCTTACAGGACCGACCATGCCTGCGCCTGGTCAATGGAAGTTCTCGACCGCTATGGCTTTGAACTTACCATATGGTCCTACTCTGTTGCTCCATACAGGATCGATCAGAATACGCGCCCCTCTTTCAGCGCCCTCTTGCCGGCTTGTCTCCACCAGAAAGCTCGCATGGCCGATCCAAGTTGCCTTCAGTCCCTGTTGCTGCGCGCCAAAGTCCGGCTTCCTCACTTTCACAAGCCCAACGCGGTCAACCGGAACCGGCACAAAGTTCTTTGGCGTACTGAAGCGCGTGCGCAAAGCGCCTACAAAGCCCGAGCTATTGTAGGACGGCCATGGATTCTTGAACCCCGTCGGCGGGCTCCCGATATGGTGTGTGGTAGTGAACTTCTCAGGCTGCAGCGGTTGCAGTGCGCTTACAACAGATTTCGGTGGCATGGCAACTCCACCTTGGGTCCAACGCCTAAAAAATGACGGGCTTCTGCGAACACGGTTCGAGCGGGCATTTTGAGGCTGGTAGTCGTGATGTTATGGATGATGAGGTCGGAGATAGCGGCAGGGCGAGGGCGCCGCGGACGTTGAATCTGACCGCCGGCCCGTTCACGTCAGGTTCCACAGACTTGGGCTGTCTGGAGGCGTTCGCAGCTCTGTCGAAATGTGAAGATTCATTTGCTGGACGCATCTGTCAACAACGTGTTAGTGTGCACAGCGATACGGCTCACTTGGCAACTGTCGTGGCTTGCTCATGCTACGTCATGTTCGATGCGCCGATTTCCGCTATTCACCTATCGCTCCTTCCACGTTTGCTCTTTTTTCCACTGGCAATCCTCGAAGCAGGCACCAGCCCGTGATGAGGCCTTCAATTCGAATTGTGGCTGACAGTCGCCCTCAAGCCGTCGTCGAAATCATGCATCCTCGGAGACGGCAACTGATCTGTACAAGCATCAGAGCACCGCTTGGGTAGTCTTATCTCGCCCGCATCCAATCAACGTCGCACGTGAGATCGACCATGCACCCCTAGCTTTGCTGCAGGTACTCCGGGCGGCGAAGAGCGACGACGGCTCCAGAGCTTCACCAGGGTCTTTTGGCACTCACCTGCCGTATCAGGAAAGGAGCTTCCGTCTTCATGTAGGCTGAGGAAGAATTTAAGGGCTCCCAGCACCCAGGTTTGTGGGTAGGCTTTCATATCATTCCTCTGGAGATTGTGTCTTTCCTCGATCAAATTCAAGATGCGCAACACTTTCACCGCAGTCGGAGCAGCTCTGCTGGCCAGTACGGCCAATGCTCAGCTCTACCCTGGATTGAGCAAACTGAACCATACCTGCCAGCTCCAGAAGCCTCTGCTGTCATGCCCCTCCCAGAACGTCTCTGATGTCGATTCCTGCTGTGTGGAGACCTTTGGTGGACTGGTGCTTTCGACACAGTTCTGGGACACATACACCGGTCTTGAGTCTCAAGGTCAGGTCCTGCCCAAGGACACTTGGTCTCTTCACGGCTTGTATGTCACTCTCGACTGTGTCCCGTGATAAGTAGCTTGAATACTAACCAACACCAGATGGCCTGACTTCTGCAACGGCTCCTACACACAATACTGCGACCTGACGCGTCAATATGACCCCATCCCCTCCCCCAACACCACCAATGGCCTCAAGAACGGCACCGTGGTCCCTCCTTACACCGGCCCCAACATCGGCACCTTCCTGGAGCCGTTCGGCCGCTACGACCTCCTCGAGTACATGAACACGTACTGGATCGCGCAGAACCAAGACAACCCGGGTTTCTGGGGCCACGAGTTCAGCAAGCACGCCACCTGCTTCAGCACCTTCAACACGCCGTGCTACGGTCCGCTGTACCGGGAGCACGAAGACGTGGTTGATTTCTTCGAGACGGCGATTAAGTACTACCAGCGCTTTCCCACGTACAAGTGGCTCAAGGCGAAGAAGATTGTGCCGAGCAACAGCACGACGTACTCGTACACTGACTTCAAGGACACGCTGAGTAAGAAGCATGGCGGTATTCCCTTCATTGGGTGCTCGGGGCCGAGATTCAATGCCACTGCTGCGGGCAAGAACACCACCGATAACGGGTACACGGTGCTAAGCGAGGTGTGGTACTACGAGTACGTCTATGGACGGCCTCAGGAGGGTAACACGGTGCCTGTCGATGCCAGCGCAACATACCAGACCAACTGCGCGAAGACCAAGGGCGCGATTCACTACTACCAGCGGACGAATGGATCGGAGAAGGTGCCTGCTGTGCCCTTCAAATAAGTGGATGAGCGGCACTAGATATATTACATTGTCTTTAGAAGCCTAGCGCAACACTTAAAACCACAGCATAAGTTCATATCAGCACGGATGAAAAACAACGCTAGGTCGGGTTGACTAGTCTCTGATGATACGAAAAAGTCGAATATAAGAGCAACTATTTTTGTAGCGAACAGAGCATCTCTCTGCGCGCAGTAGATGTAAGATCCACTGACGACCTCCTGTTTCCCCGCAACTCCAAAGTCTTCGTGTCTCACACAGAAGCGCCATGTTGAAGACCGAAGACCACGGATCATATATACAATGGATTGTTCCAAGGAAGCATGAGCTTGAGACGTATACCTCCAGATGATCCTGCACAAAAGCATGTTCTGAGTCTGACATCCGTGATACATTCTTCGCTGCTACGTCAGGGTCGTATGCTATGCCGGGATCGTTTACATGCCACCGGGTAGCTTCCAGATACAATCCATGCCCATGTCTACTGTGCGAGTGCCAAAACAGCAGCTGTCGCCGACATCTTCTTCAACCCAAGTGTTGCGCACGCGAACCTTCTTCTCAAGAAGCCAGGAGTCGTACTCTTGGGGTCTTCTCTCCACCTCTTCAGGTTTGATTACCGTATCGCGAGCAACGAAGTATCCTAGTGCTTCTGCAGCCCTGTGGCGCGCTTCGACCTGCTCGGCGGCGTAGTGATCAATCTTCTGTTGCGTACTGATGTCTTCCTCAGCGGTCGGATCAGCCCATGCCTCCATCTCCCCACCACCGCTCTTCTCAAAACTCAAACTCGCCCCGAAAACGCTCGACATCCATACCCGGCCCCACAACATCCGCCAAATCCCTGCGCCCCATCTGCCCAAATACCCTCCTCAGCGTATCATACAGATTTGTGCTCTGATTCTGATGAATCATATTATCCAGCATACTCTCACTGACCCCCTCGCCCACAACCTCCCTCGCCTTCTCCTTCCCCTCGGCCTCAACAACTTTGTGCATCGCCAGCGCGCCCAGCAGATGCTGCGCAGCCTCAGTAAAGCAGCCGATGTTAATGCAACTTACGCCCAGATTATAGCGCGCGCGGACAAAATTGGGTCGGAGTGCGAGCGCCCGCGAGTATGCGTCGATGGCTTCTTCCGAGCGCCCGGAGTTGGCGAGTGTCGCGCCGAGTCGGTTCCAGAGGAGGTGCACTTGCGAGGAGGAGTTGGAGACGCCGGATTCGGTGCTGGCGAGCGCGGCGCCGAAACAGTCGACGGCTTTGTCGTACTCCTCCACGCCGTAGAAGAGCACGCCCAGCCCGACTTGCACGTCGGGATCCATTTGCTCGCCGCTGGGCGAGAGTTGTGCGGCCGCGATGTACAGATTTGTGACCTTCTCGTGCAGTGCTTGGCGGTCGGTGAAGCCCATGTCTGCGTCCGAGGAGAGGGGTTCTTTGACCAGGCTGGGGTATTTCGTGGCGAGCCAGCGCTCGAGGGTGCGGTAGGCGGTGCTTTCGTAGCCTTCGTTTGTGTAGCTGACAGCGAGGCCCATCAGGGCTTCGAGGTTGTTAGGGTCTTGCCTGAGGGCATGCTCGAGGGCGCGGATGGCGGGTGTTTCCTTTTCGTTTTGGGCTTGCGATTCGCCCAGCTTGACCCAGGCGGCGATGTGGTTTGGGTCTTTTTGGACGGCGGCTTCGAAGGCGAGGGCTGCGAGGGACAGATTGCCACCTTCTTCCATGATTTTGACGCCCTCTTCGAACGGGTTGGTAACGCTCTTAAATAGGTTCTCCTGCTCGAACAGGTAGTCGCCCATGGCCGGGTCCCGGGCACTGTGTGTGTTGAGCCCGTCGAAGCCCTCCCACTGGTCGAGGTCGCCCATGTGCATGCCGTCGCCAAAGGTGGCTT